ACCAAAACTGCAACTCATAGTAATCAACTTGTGATACGAATAACACGTCGCTGCAGCTCTCTTGAGACGAGAGCATGCAACACTCGCCACAGTTACGAGCGCAACTAATTTCCAGCAATAACTTGTCAGCAAAGCATGTGGCCTCTCCACTGTTGTGCATTGGTTAAATAAATCAACAAATAAATAAATGTTTCTCCACTCACTCGTATGTACTTACTTAGTCTGCTTTGTTCCATGTGGCATGCTGCATGTTGCCACGCGTATAATTGTTGTTGCGCAGCACATATTGCCGGCAACCGCAGCAGTGTTTGATTGTGATGTTGCAGCGACTGTAATTTGCACAAAAAAAAAAAAAATATATATATATATATTGTTGTTGTTGGTTTTTGAATTGTTGTTGTTTGTGTAACTTTTTATTTTGTTGTTGTAATGTTAACTGCTGCACGCTTGCAGCAGGAAAAAAGTATTGTTGTTGGCTTTGTTTTAATTGTTGTTGCTGTTTTTGGTTTTGTTGTTGCAATTTTAACTGCTCCACGCTTACAACAGACTCGTGTGCCGTTAGTGCTGCGAATTCTATTGGACTTGTTGTTGTTGTTGTTGTAGTCGTTGCGGTTGCACTTGCCACAACCATTGCTGGCACTATGGCGCAGCAGCGCAGTGGCGCCACAATTCATTTTATTGCCTCTGCTGCCTCGGCGGTTGCCTCGTCTTCAGCTGCTTCTTATTTTCTGAACGTATATTTCTTTATATTTGCTGGTTTTGCTTTTTCTTGTGCGCTTTTTGTTATTGTTTGGTTGCTGCTCTGCACCGCAGCAGCTGTTGCTGTTGTTGTTGCTCCAATTTTCCAAGCTTGTTTTCATTATTTTTGTTGTTTGTTTTCTACCTTCAGCATTTTCATTTCATCCAACACACGCACACGCATACATACATACACACACACACACAATCAAGCGCTGTTGGCGGCAAACAATTGCTTGTGCGCCTGCAAGTATGTTTAGTGTATTTATATTTGTAATTTGCTTGCTTTTTTTGTTGCCAATACAATTTCATTTCATTTTCGTTTACGTTTTTATTTGTATTTAACAATTTGCTGTTGTTTTTGTAGCACTTTTTTGCCGTTTTGTTCTGTCGGTTTTGCCTCAGCTGCCTTCATGCGCTCGATAGCTGGCAGCTTGTTTACTCTTATTGTTGTTGCCATCTTAAGATTACTTTGGACGGTTGCTGTTGTTGGCTGTAGGTTTTTGCCTGGTTGTGTGGATATGCGTATATATGCATGTATGTGTGCATTATCATTTTGCAGAGGTTATGGCTTTTTCTTCTTTTTTTGTTTGTTTTTTTTTTTTTTTTTTTTTTTTTTTTTTTTTTTTTTTTTTTTTTTTTTTTTTTTTTTTTTTTTTTTTTTTTGTGTTTTATTCTCGCATATATTGTTATTTTGTACGCTCGTGCATTGTTATTGTTGTTGCAGGCAACTCGACTTGCCGTCTCAATGGTATTAGGTCTAATATTTGTACACTTTATTGCTTGGGGATTCCGCAGGCCAAGTGGGGGTTGCGGTGCATTGCGTTACAAGCGAGTTGAAATACATTTTCCTCCTCTCACACACACACACACACACACACACACATACACACTCACTTACGCCGATAACAATTCACCTGCATTTACAAACTCACGCACACACACACACATACTGAGCTCTCGTTCCGCTTCGTTTTGTGTGCGACTGCGTCACAATGTCTGAGGATTTCTTTGCCTTAGCGCATATTTTTGCTTTCTTCCGCCATCGCTCTCTCCCCCACAACCATTTCAACCCCCTGCTGTGCGATGACTCGCCGTATTCGCAGGAATTTTTCTGATTTCAAGTGAACCGCACCCTTCCCGACACACTCAAATCACTCTTTTGTTGCGCGTATCGTAAACGGCTGCTGGAAGATAGCGGCGAGCAGACTTAGATGGCGTCACGGTCGAGGGCTTGTGCGCGTCGAAGGCTTTTGCCTCGCTGCTCGCTTGTGGGCTCGTTGCATATTTACGGCGCTTCCGTTGAGCTGGCGCGCAGAGCTTAAGATTTAGATTTCGAGTTTGAATTGATTACGATATCAATTATGTTTGCTTTGTAGGTGTGCATGATTGCGTGCTTTTCGGCGCGCACGCACACACATTCGCATATGCACGGCTATCAGTTATCAATGGCTGCTGGCAAGCGAACGCGCGTGTGTTTGTGTGTAAATGTGGGGGAATGTGGGGGAATGTATTCACTATTGGAACTCGTTTAAGGCAGGCGTATATGTATGCRTGCAAGGGTGCACGTATATGTGTGTGTGTGTGTGTGTATGAGCACTCTTTCTATCCACTGTGGTGACGGCGGTTGCGGGAGCTTGTATGCTCTGTTGCCTCAGCGTTGCGGTCGATTGATTATACGCACAGATTTATTTATGTTCACATATAAACTGTGATATCTATATAAACGTGTGTGTCTGTGTTCCCACAGTGACTTGGAAATATGTGCGCGCAAAATAATTGACCGCAATGAATTTTAGTTTCATAAATAATCACATGACGAGTGTAATTTCAGGAAAGTGCTGGTTGGCAAGCGGAAATTGTTGCTAACATACGGGAAACGCCAATGAAGGACGTACTAAGTATATTCGCATTTCGAAATATACCGTTACAGCGATTTTAAGTTTTCATTTAAACAGCAGGTACCTTAATATTAATGGACTCTCAAAGGTCTAACTGATATAATAGGTTGTCAAAAAAGTATTGCGGTATTTTTATTGAATTTTCAATTGTTCCTGAAATTCATTTATTTATTTCTTTTTTTTTTTTTTTTTTTTTTTTTTTTTTTTTTTTTTTTTTTTTTTTTTTTTTTTTTTTTTTTTTTTTTTTTTTTTTTTTTTTTNTGCCCAGCTCTTGATCGATGCTACGGCTGCTACTATGCCGATCTCTTTCGACCAATTCAGCGATTTTATCGCAATTTTCGACGACAGGCCTTCCGGAGTGTGGCGCATCTTCGACCACCTGTACACCAGAACGAAAACGTTGAAACCATCGTTCTGCGGGGTGGAAGTGGAAACTGTATCGGGTCTATAAACTGCACAAGTTTTATTGGCGGCTTGAGATACATTTTTGCCTTTATCGTAGTAGTACTGTAAAATATGCCGTATTTCGTCTTTATTTTGCTCCATCTTTGCAACGCTATAACTCACGAACCATTTAAAAGAAACGACAGTCAATCAAACACGTGTTAGCGTGTGAAATGAGCTTTCCGAAAAGGTATAGCATGACCCGATGCGACGAATAAAACTAGAACTAGGCGCTCTCAGCGCCAACTAGCGAAAATACCGCAAGACTTTTTTGAATATAATCGAAAAGCGCGGAAACTTCTTAGATGACATTAAGGCGCAATAATTTCAAATTATACCGTTATATATGTTTTACGTTTTGCGTATATTTGAGAATTTTGATAAATTTATCAGCTAAAATATTTGTATTTGTATTTTTCTTGCCGATTTCTCTTTGCCTGAGGCTTGTAGAACCCATGCACCGATTTCCGGGATACAGTTAGCACTAAAAAAGATTTTTGGTAAAGTTGTTTATTCACGATATTTCCTCTCGAGAGTGCTCACTAATTATAGAGACCCTCCAACCCTATTCGATTGTAGTACGATTTGTGCTTTGCTATCAAAAAATGCCTCAGTTTCAGCGATCACTTCTTCGATGAAAATTTTCTTCCAGCGAGCTTAATTTTGAGATCTGAGTACTGAAGATGGTCGCTGAGGGCCAGATCTGAAGAAGCGATGGATGCGAAAGCCAATTCGAAGCTCAATAAATAGATTTCCATCGTTTTCAGTGACTTGTGACACTTTCTCTTTAAAGTCGTTAATAAAAATTATTTCATGTGCATCCTAAAATACTGTTGATTGAAGTTCGTAGTGAAATGATGGAGCCATGTTTCATCCGTTTTCAAATATTGATTCAAACTCTCGGATTTATTCCGCTTGAACATCTCTAAACACTACCTACTCCGAAACATCAACTAATCGTTGATTTTGGTCAAAAGTGAGCTCGCGAGCCACCCACTTTGCCCAGAGCCTTTTCATACCCAAATATTCCTCAATGATATGATGTAAGCCATCAGCTGATATCTTTAGAGTTCTTGCTATCTCGAACCACTTTAATTTATGGTTATAGAAAGTTATTTTGTGGACTTTTCGATGTTTTTCGTCTTTTGGACATCCACTGCGTTCACCGTTTTCGGAGCTCATGTCACCACTTCTAAACTTAGCATACCAATCTCTGATGTTTGGTTTTTCTGGGGAAGTATCCGGAAACCAATCATGAAACCAAGCTCTTGCCGTAAAATTTTTACACGCGCCTTTTGAAGGTTAAAAATCATATCATAATTAATTTTAGTGCCGCCATCTATAGTATGTATCAGGCCGCTGGCTTTTAAATTGTCTTGTTAGTCATAAGAAACAGGAGCACAGTTAATATCAGTGTAAAAGAAATGAAACAAGCAATTTCGCCTTGTGTTTCTACTGTTCCCGGTGTTCAACAATTTGTTGGTGTTAGAGCAACCAACGAAAATTTCAATGAAACAAAGCGCTTTGAGCCTATGAAAAATTTGTTGAGACCACTAATGTCAGTCATTTGTATTTAACAATTGTACTAAATAATTTCTCTATCTTATTGCAAACAATAATAATAATTTTGCCTACATTTTGGCGCATAATTAAAAATTATGAACTTTTGGAACAAACTGTTAGTACAATTTCCCTTACGATGGAATTGTGTAATTTCGTATATTACAAACTCTAAGCTTACAATAATAATGAAATTGAATTGACAGTTTGTGCCATAAGTTCATAGTTTTCAATTATGCGCCAAAATGTAGGCAACCTTATTTTTTCCCCAATAAATATCCTCAGGGAAACAACTTTAGTTAAAAAATTTATTTTATTTCTAACATAAATATATCTCTTTCTTCAACTTTTTTTCAGGTCCAATCAACAAAGTATAAAGAAACAAAACGTGGAACTCTCAATATAAGTGGTGAGTAAAAAAACATCTTTCATCATGAAATGTTGCTTAAAGTTTAAAACTTACTGTTTCTTTAGGAGCTATTAAAACTATTTTCCTATGATATGGATATATTGAAAATCCCACGAAAAAGCGGTTTATATATGGACTCGTTGCTTACCTTATACCCTTATCGCCTCCATAACTCATTCATTCCTTAGAATGTGGGAAAGTTTGAGAATAGATAGGCTAAAATAAATACTTTAAACGCCTTGATGTTTAGGGAAAATTCCGGACAATTTAACTTGAAGTAATGCATATTGATACACAGCTATATAACACAAACTAATTTTTTACGATTTCGAATGTTCATTAATTTCGAATGTCTGACTAAATATCAACTTATTGAAACGTCTGTCCAGTGTCTTCAGTATAATTTCGCTGAAAAATATTTCAATAAAATTTGCACCTAAAATAGATGGTTGTTGGTACAGTGAGTAGGTTGATACTGAATTCGGATGGAAGCTGGGCATCGTTCGCAAAAAACTGCAGCTTTTGCAGAAATTCTAAGCTGAAGCGTGAAAAATATGCGCACTATTATACATTAAAGGTGTATTTGGTTCCATTTTCTAATATTTCTGCACTGGTTTACTAAAACTTCAATAAATTTCCTGAAACAAAATAATTCAGATATGTGGTAACTCTTTTTGGAAACAATCGGAAATTAACTTAAATTTTGCATTACTAAAAAATTACACAAACAGTCATTTAGAAAAGAAGTAATCCCAAGTTTATTGTATTATCCCTTGTTAACAGCATGTAAATGTATATACTATAGGTATTTTAAAAGGTTGTCGAATTCCGGCGTCCCTCCACTTAGCGAACTTTCTACCAAATAATAAAATCTCGCTTTTCCACAATTTTGCAACTTTTGCTGATGCGATTTGACTTTCCGTTCCCTCTCTTAATATGGGTAGCATGCCGGCGGCGCATTTTCTGGCAACACTGTTGCGAATACATTTATTCATATATATAGCTTACAATATATATACATATGTATATTTGTGTGAGTGTGTGTGTGTCATTGCCCCTTTTGTCTGTCTATTCCAACTGGAGTATGTATTGCCTTTGTTTTGCTTGGTGGCCACATCCTTTGCTGGAGGATATTTTAAATGCGATAACTTTACACCGAACGCAACAACAACAGCAACAATGGTGAATATGGGCACCAGCAAATTACCGTACGATCTGCGTCACCTTTTGCACTTCGTTGCCTCTTCGGTGAGCAACCTAAAATTGTTGTTGTTACTGCTTTATTGGTTGTTGCTGTTGTTTATGTTCGCATCATGACAGCAAACTTCTAAATTCCACTTCACTTTGTTTGGGCGAGTGCTGGCAAATTTATGTGTATGTGTACTTTTATGAATGTACACTTATCTTTCGGCCCCTAAAGGTATGCTATGCTATTGTAACTGGTATTCATATATGTACAACGTATGTGGGTATGTGCATGGAATACACCTTTGTAATAAACATCAATATTATCAGCGCGGCAATATCACCGCTCGGTCATCTCTCCACTGTTTGCGTGTGTGTGTGTGTGTGCTCATTCGGTCATAATTTTCGACCGCACCGCGTCCTTAATCAGTCACTCAATGTATGGCCTTTTCACACAATGCAATTTATTCGGATTTCGTTTATTACAATGACTTAGAACGGTTTGGAATGCAGCGGTAATGGTTGAATTCCAACATCATGTTGGTGTCAGAGGAATGTCCGACTGCTCGCAGGTCCGAATGTCCGAACACTTGCACATGTGTGTGTGTTTGAATTCCTGAAATGTTGATACAGATATCAGTTTGAATGCCACATAACACAAGTATAGAACACAATGCATATATTATATATTATATATATAGGGTATTTTAAGTGCATTCTGTACGCTGCTGCTGAAATACGCAGCAGCCATTCATCTAATCACATACGTTTGCCCAGATATATATATATATATTTTTTTTTTATAATATTTGTATACTCTCGCAGCAAAGTTGCTAAAGAGAGTATTATAGTTTTGTTCACATAACGGTTGTTTGTAAGTCCTAAAACTAAAAGAGTTAGATATAGGGTTATATATACCAAAGTGATCAGGGTGACGAGTAGAGTTGAAATCCTTGACTTGAGTAAAAATTGAGATATCATGATGAAACTTGGTACACGTACTTCTTGGCTCCATAAGAAGGTTAAGTTCGATGGACAAAATCGGACAACTGTCACGCCCACAAAATGGCGGAAACCGAAAACCTATAAAGTGTCATAACTAAGCCATAAATAAAGATATTCAAATGAAATTTTGCACAAAGGATCGCATTAGGGATGGGCATATTTGCACGTAATTTTTTTGGAAAAGTGGACGTGGCCCCGGCCCCTACTAACTTTTTTGTACATATCTCGAAAACTACTATAGCTATGTCAACCAAACTGTATAGAGTYGTTTCTTTTAGGCATTTCCATATACAGTTCAAMAATGGAAGAAATCGGATAATAACCACGCCCACCTCCCRTACAAAGGTTATGTTGAAAATCACTAAAAGTGCGTTAACCGACTAACAAAAAACGTCAGAAACACTAAATTTTACGGAAGAAATGTCAGAAGGAAGTTGCATCCAGGTTTTTTTTTTAAATTGAAAACGGGCGTGGCGTCGCCCACTTATGGACTAAAAACCATATCTCAGGAAGTACTCAACCAATTTCAATGAAATTCGTTATATAATAGTTTCTTAACACCGTGATGACATGTACGAAATATGGGTTAAATCGGTGCACAACTACGCCTTCTTCCAATATAACGCTATTTTGAATTCCATCTGATGCCTTCTCTGTATAATACTCGTATATCCATTAGGAACCAATGATGATAGCGGAATAAAACTTTACACAAATACGGTATTTGATGCGAGAGTATAAAATGTTCGGTGACACCCGAACTTCCTTGTTGTTTTATAATATTTTTTAATATTAAGTTATTCAAGTATTTTAAAAGATGCCTGATATAATCGAGAAGCCTCGTATTTTGTCAAAAAAAGCAAATCTATCTTATATCAGGAATCTTTTAAAATACTTGAAAAATATTTAAAAAAAATAAAAAATATTGTAAGAGATATATATTTCGCAGTGAAAAAGCTTAAGACGGTTCGTAATGCTATCGTAACGCACTCATGGAGTACAAAAACTTTTAATAATATTTAGGTGACATGTACCTCATTATGAACTCTGTTTAACTATAAATGTATAATATATAAAAATACGCTGAGGGTAAGTTGGTAGCTAACACTTTAAGTCGGTACAAAGTGGTATCGAATAACCCACTTTAATCTTCAGTGCATCTGAACTGCCAAAATATGACAAGAGTAAGAGAGAAAGTTTATAATCTTGTATAGTATAATATTAAAGGCAAGGTCTGGGCCAACCCTTACTTTTACTAATGTGGGCAGAAACTAATAAGACCTTTTACTATAATTATTTTACATTTACATAAAGTGAATTCGGCGACTGAAGTAACGTAAAGTGAACGTGACGTGTAAACTATTGTCCAGCAGTTGAAGCAAAAATATGCATATTTTCATAATTCCTCAAACGGAAGAGGTAACGTCAACTAAATTCTTCGAGCCAGTATAGCTACACCAACTTAATCATTAGTTCTTTTTATTTTTATGTAGTTGGTAACAACTGAAAATATAAAGCCTCTGGAGAACAATTTTTGTGTTTGAGAGAATATACTACTTGTACGAGGATAACTGCAAAGTTCTATTAGAAAACCACGAGAATATATATAAAGCAACTATATTTACGGATAGCCAGGTGCCGCTTCTGGCCTTGTCTTCACCCATGACAAATTCCAGTATAGTTCACAACTGCAAGAAAGCACTAAGCTCAATAAAAGACAAGCTCCAACAAGACTTGGTCTGGGTTCCCGGTCACGCGAACATTTTCGGTAACGAAAAAGCAGACGAGTTGCCAAAGGCAGGAGCTTTCCTCAAGGAATCCGAGGCGAAGCTAATACCAAGCCCGCTAGGATCGATCTAAGGAGAGATCAATAGACAATTTCAACAAATTGCAAATAACTGATGGAAAAACATTACAAAATGCATCATAACTAAACAATTGTGGCCAACATATGATGGAAAAGAACCAACGACTTATTAAATAGGTCGAGGAGAAGTATCCACAGAGTAATAGCTACCACAACAGAGCACTGACCATTTTCGGATATGCGTCCAAAATGGGTATGCCCTAGAACGACATCTGCCAAGGTTGTGGAATAGCAGGGAACAAGGAAACTATTCTCTACTTTCTTTGTGAATGCCCAGCTCTAGCACAGATCCGACACAGAACACTTGGAATCCATCAAGCAGCAAACCTTGAATGGATTTCCACCAAAAACCATATCAAACATAAGTTGTTTCATCGAAACCTGAAAATGGTTTGAGAGAGAAGGTGAAACGTGATAGCAGATACAGGAGGTTTTACGGATAGTGCATCAAAATGGCACATCAAGTGCCAATTGAGCCCGATAGATAACAGGGCTGCACACCTAAATACCTGTACGAGCTTTTTTATATTGATACTAATGTTCCATTTGGAGCAGTTACATCTGCGGTTTTCTGGAAGCAATATTTGGGTTTTCACTTGATGCTAGCAGTGTAGTATCATAAATAAAGTTTGCCGTCATTGCGGAGTCAAAGTTGACCATTAGAAGGTTTGCTGTGTAAAGAATGTAGAGCACAGGGGCGAGTACACTGCCTTGGGGCACGCCTGCACAAACAGGTCTCAAATCCGACTCAGCATCATGACATCTAATGTAGCACATTCGATTGTGCAAATAAACACTTAAAAGTAAATAAAAAGGCATTTGTAGTTTTTCCTTTAAAACTTTTTGATTTTGTCAAATGCTTGGCGCGCCATCAAGAAGCACAGTACAGCAATATTTATTATTTTCCATAACATCAGTTATAAAGTGTTGTACCCTATTACAT